CCTGGCCAGCGTCTGCCTGGGCACAGCTTCGGCATACACGCGCCGAGCCTCTGTAAATCTCCACAAACACGGCGACCGCTCACACACACTCCCAAGACAGGGACGGAAGGGCTGCATATGGCACACGGTTTTAACAGCTGAGCTTTAAAAAAAGTGCAGCTTTTCATCTCACTGAACCAGCTCCCAAATCAGGAGGTGGGGGGAGACAAACTGGGGTGGGCTGGGGGAGGGGGCGAGGGGCAGAAAAACGGAAGCCGGGATGGGAAGAGGCAGCTTTCAACATTCAACTGGATTTTACAGGAAATTTCCGACTGTTATCTGCTCCAAAGCTGCCTTTGGAAATTGAAATAACGCTCTCAGCTGGCCATCCTCAAGTTTGCTAATTTATATTATTAAAAAAAAAAAACTTACATATTTTCCTTTTTTTTTCTCTCTGATAAAAATGAAAACACATCTAGCCACTCACATGCTTTAGACTAGGTAGGGTAAATTTTTGTAAGTCAATTTATAAATAGGATTATTGTTTTCCAGAGTTCTGCTCCACAAAGGGATTAGCAGCCGCCCTGCCCAGTGGGTATTGCCTGGCCCTTTCCAATTCCCTGCCTGGAGGTGGAAGGTGGCTGGGAAGGAACTGGAAGGAGCCGCCTGATGCCCATGCTCTTCCCGGAATTGCCTGGAAACTTTTACTTTCTGTTTCCTGGGCTGGTAATGACTGTCTTCAGCTCTGCAGCCAGCTCCCCTCTCCCCCTCCCAGCCCCCTGTTGCTGCAGCCATCCCTGGGCTCCAGTATAAAGTTTGGCTTTTGCAGCAGGAAGCAGCTGGGCCAAGCAACCAGCGAATGATAATGACCTCAGAAATCTGCTGTTCGCTCGGCAACAATAGGGTGCTCAGTCTACTGGAAAATTGTGTTCATCAGCTAACTCTGCTCAGTTACTAATTGACATTGCCAAATATTTTAAGAACAATTGGAATGCACAAGCAAAAAAAAAAAAAAAAAAATGAAGATCTTAATCCTCAGACTTTAAATTTTTTGTTTCTTTCTTTTTTTTTTTTTATTTTGTGTTTTTGTTTTTGTTTTGTTTTCTGTGTTTCTTCTTTCGGGTGCCTGGATTTGTTTGTGTGGAGCAGGCAGTGGTTATCAGGAATGGGGGTGGGGAGGAGGAGCCACAGGAGAAAAAGAGGTGGAAAAGAAAGAAAATCTATCATATCACTATACACAGGATGTAAATGCAAGGAGCCCTAGATAAAGGCCTTGGGGGCTGTGGTCAATGGGCACACATAGGATGGAGACTCGGCATTCCAGGAATGTGGCTCAGGCAACAAAAGAAGACCCCGCAGGGCTTTTAGCCCAGCTGACCAAATAATCCTTGTCCATCTCAAAATATTACAGCACAAGAAGTAGGGGTTAACGATATTTTCATCTTTGCATCTCGCCCTGGCTTGCCATTGATCAGGCAACTTAGTTGACTTTATTTAATGAACAGAGGGTCAGTGCATTCAATTACCCCCTTCCCGCCATCAACACTTCAATTATCCCCACTCCAAAATTATGGGGAATTCGGAAGGTAACTGCCCTGTTGGATATAATGAACAGTATCGTTTCTTAGTACATTAAGTTTTAATTATTCTAAGTGTGATTTCCAAAGCAAAATCTGAAGAAACAGAACTTTGGTTGTTTTCTGACTCAGACAGAGCAAAGCCAGGATTCAAGATGGGTCTTAGAGGAGGTTTCAGGAAAAGATGCAAAGATTAATGCCATCAGAGCGCCTGCACGCAAGCCAGAAATGAGAAGGCATCAAAACAGCCGCCCCGCTCTCTAAATGTCATAAAAGAGAACAATTTATAAGCTGCCGCTTTCCAAATAGTTTCCCTTTGCATTGCACACAGAGGCAGAAAGGACATCTACCATGGTGTGAAATTACTGGTGAGTACAACAACAACAACAACAACAACAAAAATAAAACAAAGAGGAGAGATGGGGAAGTGATCTGTGTGACTAGTTTTGTCCATTTTCTGTTAGAAAATATGACCTCTCAATTTGTCAAAGGTCCTCGTTTTCGCAGTTGATCTTAAGCTTGGTTCTCAGCAGTTTGGAGAGGCAAAGAACAAACACATTTTCTGGTTCACTGGAACCATTTTCACACGTTCACTGATTCAAACATTCTTTTGCTCACATAACAAACAGCTGCATCCCACATTAGCCTAGCCAGTGACAGTCACCCATCTCGGCAATAACTGTTTGATTGCAAACTTGACCCCTTCTTCGTCTCGGTCTGGGCAAGACATTTTTAAACAGCCACTCGGTTCCCAATCCTCCTTTGCAAAGAATTACATCAGATAACAAAGGACGTCTCCGCCACTCATTGTAAGCCTTCTTCTAGAGATCTGTTCTAAGAGGCTCTGGTAAAAAGGTTTTTATGATGAATTCAGAACTACTATCATGTTAAGAGCAGCGATTTATAAAGAAGAATTCATTGGTTAAGATCTGAAAAAATAGTTTCTCAGGCCCTACTGACCCAGTTTTCAACAAAAAAAGAATCAAGTGATGCAAATTAAGTTTTGTGACATTGTTATGCAGTCTGAGAAATTTGTAAAACCGTGTTTTGCAGTTATTTCTTAATGGAAGCCTTAATAAGCACTTCTTTCTTTACTTAAGGGCTTAAATTTTTCTTCCCTCCTCTTCACCTTGCAGGTTTCTCTCTAACAGGTAAGAATAAAATACCTATTGTGTCAAGATTTTTATTTAAATGCTTATTTTAATAGCACTTTATACAAATAATACTTGTTTAAAAAATAAGAGGGGAGACTAACCAGATTTTGTTGAGAGTCTTAAATCCCAAGCAAACCTGAATGCCCCAGATGCACAGCCGATTTGGGCTGCATATTGGGGTGCCATCAATTCTCCTACTTAGTCAGAAAATTATGAAAGGGTCTAATTTGAATATGAAGAAAACAAAGAAGTCAACCAGAAATGAAAGAATCAGTGTTCACCATTGTAAAATCCTTCAATGAAGGGAAATAAAAGTGAGAAGATAACCACAACTCAAGTATAATTCTCTTTGGAGTCATGAGCACGGTTAGCTCTTTGAAGCAAAATGGGTCCCTTCCACAGGGTATTTAGAGATAGGGAAGCAACAGAGACAGGAATAGCGCGAGGCTATCACTTGGCCAGAAGGTGAGAAAAACATGGTAAACACGTCATTAATGAAGCCGAGCATTTGGTGGCAGAATATTCTACAGGGACCTTCTCTTTTTCAGCAGGCCTGGGAGAGGGGTGGAAATCTGTAGATGCTAACCGCATGTCACTCCAAAAACTGAGGGGAGCCAGTTCACTCTCTGAAAGGTCTCCAATCCAAGAACAGTTGAGACTACTCCCCAAAAGAGGCCCCACTCTACAAGGCTGGAAGGACAGCATCCTCCTCCTCCATGATGGACAGCAGGATACCTAGCACTTGCGGCCTCTGCAGGGTGGGGATCCACCTTTCCAGTACCCCCACCATCAGGCAGGGCCATGGGCTAGCTTTGCACGCATGAGTCTGAAGATGCCCCGTGTAGTATGACCTCATCTTTCCTGTGTCGTGCTCAAGTTCCTGGTTAGACTCTTCCAAAGTGTTTCACCAGTAATAAATCGCAAGCAAGTCTGGGACTCCAGGAGTAGACAGTGTGTTTCATGGGTATTTAAGCAGCGGCATTAAGTGCTATCGGAATCTCTGGAATGTGCAGCTCAGATTTATGTGTCTTACCAGTTCTTTACTGGTTTGTAATAAGCCTGCATACCCGCACTTTATTTTAATACTAATTTTGTCCTCGGAGAAGGGTAGGCTGAAGCATGACAATAACAACAAAGCCAAACTGGCATCTACTTAATTGCCTCAAAGGCTGAAATATTTATTGAAACTAAGAAGGAGAGGAAAAAAGAAGAGAAAACTTTTTTAAAATGACCCTCAACAGTGTGCTGCCACATCTTTAACAGTGGGCAATGGAGTGCCTCGAGGTGCCTCAAACTGTCTTTCATTTTCTAGACTTAATGGCTGATTGCAGAAATCAATGTTGCCATTAGTAACAGGGTATTTGTTATGGCATGATTTCCTCTGTTGTTAGGCGGCAGAATGATTACAGTATTAGCGAGGTGCTTTCTTTATAAAGGGCTAGAGATATAACTTTCAATTTACTATCCATTAGTAAGGGACTTTGGAAATATGGATGAAGGCAACCTCTTACCTGCTGTTAGGTAGTGATTTTAATTCAGGCTTCTTAGGCTAGTGGGGTTTTTTCCCCCCAAACAAGGCCAGGATGCTTTATCATTTCACAGACATTTTGATGACAGATTTTCTGCTCTGCTATTTTAGACCCCAAAGCTGTATCGGCCGTGTAACACAGTACAATTTAAGACACGCAGGCACGCCTCTGGGTTTCAAACCTCTGTGTCTGGCTATGCCATCAGAGAAAACGGATGTGTCCTCCAGGCCACACGGACCTGACAGGTGAGCCAGGTGGGAATTCTGCAAGGGGATGGGAGGTAAGTTTGCTCTGCAGAAAGACACTAAGAGAGAATTCCTAAATGAGCAAATCGTGGAGCTATGCTCATAGGGGAGGGAAAGGCCGACATCCAAGCCACAGTCAGCTCCTCCACTATGAAGATGCGGTGGTGATGGATTGGGTCTGGGTGTACATGGGGCTGAGCTCTGGCAAGCAGGACGAACCATGCCCCACTCAGAAACGTGCCATCTGGCCATCTCCACCATGTGGAAGAAGAGGCCCTCATCTTTCCCAGTAGCCAGTGTTCAGGAAAAAGCCAAAGAGTTGGAACCAAAGCCCTGTCCTTGCAGCATGGCAGGTGGAAAGGCAGTAGGTAGGGCTCAGCGTCCCTCAGCTCCCACCTGCTGGGAAGCCATGCTGACCTCAGAACCCACTTGAGGCTGTGTGCAGAACAGGACAGCCCCCACCACAGACAGGGCCCCTTGCCAGCTGCCCATCCCCCATTTCCCCAGTCAACCTACCTGAGGAGGACGGCGAGGACGGATGCGGGCTGTCCTCCTGCGCGCTCCCGGTCTGGGAGAGGCCACCTCCAACCCCGCTCTCCTCAGTGACATTGGAGGAGCCCGGTGTGGTCGACCGGCTCACCGACTGGGACTCCTGGTCACTTCCAGAGCCACGCCGCTCGTCCAGGCCCGCGTGCAGCCCGTCCTCATCCCCCCGGCGGTCCCGCTTGTGGACACGGGAATGGACGACCACCTGGTGGTAGGTGCGGAACACACGGCCACAGTCAGGGCACTCGGTGGGCTTCTCTTTCATGTTCCCAGGACCCTGCAGGTTATATTCGAGCGTCTGGTTCAGCCCATGTGACAAAAAATCCCGACTGCCTTCTAAAGGGTCGAGCTTATTTGGCAGGTCTCTCTGATTGCCCACTTTAGTGCTGTGAACCAAATCAGCAGGCATTTTCTGCTTGGAGCCATCTGCTCCCACTAACACGTACTCCCGCTTCTCCTTATCAAACATAACTCCGGCGTTTGCCAAAGTGTCTTCGTGGTTGCGCTGGAGCTGATGCTCTTTAGATAAGAAGCCATGCTCCATGGCCATGCCCCTGGCCATCAGCTGCCAAGCCTGGTAGCTGTTCACAGGGTCCATCTCTGCAGCCTTGGCGGCCGCCTGCAACCGCTCTATGCAGCTAGATTTCAGTGGTGGCACGAGGTTGAGGCATCCTAGGAGTGAATGCTTATCACCCTCGGGGACACCATGCACCATGCTGGAGATGGGGGACAGCAGCTTCCCCAGTACCTCCTTCTCCTTCATGGGCAGCTCTCCCTTGCCATAGAGCTGGCCGGGCTCACTCAGGCTGGTTTTGTCTGGGGCTATGAAGCCACTCTGCAGGCAGGAGAGGTACCTGGAGTATAGGTTGGCGTGGGCCTCCTGGGACATGCCACCCATGGGCACTGGCACCTCAGGCTCACTGGGGGACTTGTTCTTCACCGACAGCTTGTTGAGGTGGACCTTCATGTGGTTCTTGAGGAACCAGGGCTCTTTGAAGCGCCGGCCACAGATCTGACAGCAATGTTCGAAAGAGTCTTTGTGCTTCCGCATGTGTCCCTTCAGGAACCACGCCTGGCTGAACACCTGGCCACACACCTCGCAGCGGAACTCGTTGGCTGACTGCTCCCCACCGCTGTTGGGGCCCTGGCCCTGCGCAGACTCCGCAGTGATGTGGGCCTTCTCCACGTGGCTGATGAGCTCCTCCTCCTGCGACGCAGCGAAGTCGCACAGCGTGCACTTGTAGGGCTTATGCAGGATGCGAATGTGGCGGTCCAGCTCCTCCCGCTTCTTGAATTTGCCTTTGCAGAAGGTGCAGCGGAAGCCTGCGGCTGGGGCCACTGTGTCCTCCTGCACGTTGGCAGGCTTGGGAGACGGCACTGGGTTCGCCACGTCGGGCACGCTGTGGTTGGAGGGCAGAGCCAGGTTGCAGGCAGTCAGCGGGGCCTGCTGCACGTGCGGTGGGGGCTTCAGGTCGGGCCGCGGCTGCAGCAGGCTGCTCTTCATCTGCTTGTCCCGCAGGATGGCCCGCTCCTCCAGCTCGTGCAGCAGGCGATTCTCCTCACGCACCCTCCCGCGCCCCTTCCCGAGGTTGCCCAGCTTGTGGGTCCGCAGGTGAATCTTGAGGTTGCCCTTTTGAGCCGCACGGTGGTCGCAGTAAGGACACTTGAAAGGCTTCTCTCCCGTGTGGGTGCGCATGTGCAGAGACAGGATGCTGTTGAACCGGAAGCGCTTGCCGCAGAGAGGACACGGGTACTTCCGGTTTTTGCGCGCGTCATCCTCGATGTCGCTCATCTGGGACATGATGCCCAGGTTCTGCCCGTTGAGGAACTGCTGCAGGTCCACGCGCCCGTTGAGGCTGGTGTCCACGTCGCGGCCCAGCTGGTTAGCCAGGAGCGCCATCTGGCTGCCCACGGGCTGGCCACTCATGGGCATGTGGGCCTTCTCATCCAGGGGCGCGGGAGCCTTCTCCTCGGGGTTCGGCCGCGGGTGCAGCTCCGGGAAGGCATGGCTGAGCTGCGACGTGATCTGGTGCAGCTTCTGACTCATGGCATACTGGCCGTTAAGGACCGGGCTGCTCAGGTGGGGCTCAGCTTCGGGGGCCGCCGAGGACACTCCAAGGCACAGACTCGCTTCTTCCATCCCTGAAAAGAAAGGCAGAGTTCAGATCTGTGCCAGGTATCTCTAGCGCGGGAAATCAACAGCATCAGCCGGTGAGGAATTTGCATTTCATGCCTTACCTACATGTAATAATGCCAAGGAATTATAGTCAAAAACAATAATAAAAAAATGAATTATTAAATGCCAATTATGCAATATGGCATTGCTCCTCCAATTTGTTTTGGCGATAGATCGTCTTCCTTGTATTTTCTATTTACGGACTGCAATTATTCATTCACATTTAAATTATTAATGTTTTACCACTTTCAACACCTCATAACAAATCAAGGGTCTACGTGTTAAACTTTCCCTTCTTTTCCCCCTTGTAGTACCTGTACCTGTTGGTTCAGTCCAAAGTTTGCCTTGAAAGAGTAGCTTTCACTGCGAGACCGAATAGACTCACCCAGAACTTTTGTTTCCATTTGCTATGTTCAATACACTCACTAGTCTGAGATGAAAGAGATGGTTTTATGATTTGGCCAAAAAAAAAACCAATGGCATGATATTTACTGGTACATAATAAAACAAGATAATGTTTTGGGAAAAAATAAAGTAAAGGACAGGCTTTAGAACAATAAAAGGGATTTTGCTTTAGTCAACAAAAAGTGCAGTAATATCTCATTAAGCTGATTAGTATGCTGCTTAGAAACAGTACTAGGTGCTGTAACACATGATTATAATCATAAAAATCCTTCAGTGTTTGCAAGGAAGCATTAACGAGGTATATTAAATTTTAAGGAGACGGCGAGTAGCGGCTTTGCAAACCTCAGAGATTAAGATTTAACCCTTGTGTTACGAAACACTGTTATTTTATCATTTGGTAACTGTGTCCAGCAGAAGAAGTATAAATTATCCCCTGATAGAATCTCAGTGAATGACGGGACTGCTCAAATTTGGGAGGAGGTGAAGATATCACATAATGGGTTCTTTCTGTCTTTCACCAGGCAAGACAGCAAAGGTAGGGACTTTGATTGGGCTTAAAGATCTTTTATAGAACTAGATAAAAACCAATTAAAATCCAAGGATGATGCCATAGGAAGCCTCAACCAAGTTTGAGTGTTTTTAATAACTTTCCCAATATACAGTAATGAGTACAAATTGTACCTGCAGTATGTGTTTTGCAGATAATTAGAACTCAAAGCTGTTTGCTAAACACTAACACTCAAAGCTAGTCTGTGTAATTGTCTTTAATAGTTCTCTCTGCCCCTCTGCAGCCTGTGTGCAATGGGAAGGCCAGGGCATCTCAGGTGAGTTGGAGGGTGCAAAACTCTCCATATCAGAGCCTTCAAGAGCTTAGCTTTGAAAGGCACTGGACCACGCCTGGAGTCCTCTTTCTGGATAACGGCTTCCAACAGAAGGAGTCTGAGTTCACTTCCTGTCTTCACAGTGGCTTGTGCCCATCTCGCCTTTGTGCATCCCTGTGTTTAGGTACGTTAGCCAGCTAGGTGGTCCAGGACTTGTAGTTAAATCCAGCCAGAACTGTGGGGCCAAGCAACTCCCCAGGAAGCTGTGAGGACAGAGCTCAACTGTGGACGAAGCACATTCAGCCTTGGCGGGATCTGCTGCTTGCTGGGCCTGCCGCCAGAGACACTGTGCAAGGCATTGAGGGTCTCCAATAGGAGAACTGACTTCCTTGGCAAGGAGAGGAGCCATGAGTCCATCTTGCAAAAGAAGGGACGAAGAAGTCATGGGTGGCCAGGCATGGTGGCACGTGCTGTAATCCCAGCACTTCAGAATAGTGAGACAGGAGACTGGTAAGTTCCAGCCTATCCTGGGCAAGTGTCTCAAAATTAAAAAAAAAAAAAAAAATGTTTAAGATCTAGGAATTTAATTCAGTGTGAAGGTTTTAGGTTCAATCCCTGGTATAGAAAAAGGAAGGAAAGAAGAGCAGAAGGGAGGAAGAAAAGGAGGAAAGGAGGAGGAGAGTACAGGATCGGAGAGAGAGGAATGTGTATTTCCAGGAGGGAGAAGGTCCACAATCATTGTACAATCATTTTTTTTAAGTTATCTATGTCTGTGAATGATGATGTAGACCACTGAGCATACACACATATGCTCAGAGATTCAGGCTCACTTGTGATAAAAGAAGGCTTCCAATTTGCCATCTTTCCTTTTTTTTTTTTTTTTTTTTGGTGGCAATCTATACCCTAATTGAAACACCAGGCCCTTCTTGCAGAGTGGTCAGAAAGGAGCTAATTTCTCCTTGCATTCATTTCATGAACTTGCAGAATGTCCCCTGCATACCTGCCCCCATCACAAAACACATGGTCATCGATGTGACTGTCCAACCCAGAACTCACAGCACTCACATCTACTGAAGAAGCAGGCCCAGCATAGAGCGGATGCTCAGGCAGGCACGAGCGGCCTCTAGGGCCCAGTCTGCATGCCTTTCTCCACCTTCAAGCCCCATCCAGCTGAGCTGGCTCCTCTCCTGAGCAAATATAGATCATGACCCTGGAGCCACATGTGAGTGCTCAGAATTCCACCCAACATCTCTGTGGAAATTTGGAAAGTACAAAGCCAACACAGCTGGCCTATTTCCAAAAGCTGCCTAGTTGGCCAGCTCCGAAACTGTGAATCCAGGAAGATGGGTTTGTACTCAGGTTGCTGCTGCTGAGCTCAGGCCAGTTCAGCAAGAGAGGCAGGAGGCTGGATGTGCAGCGCAGACTGCAGATCAGGCAGGATGGCAGGCTTCAAGTTGAAGGTCGTGTGACCCTCACCACCACTCACGCTGTGTGAGTAACAGCTTCACTTGTCAGCTGATCAGCATGAACGTTTTCAAGTTGGGTCAGAGTACGGAATTTTTTTATTTGTTCAAAACCAGTATTTTTTACAGAGTTCATAACCCATTTTAAACGCCTTTTTGCAATTTGTCTTTGGATGTCATTGCTGCTGTCTCAGGAGAGGAGGGAAAAGAATGTTCTAGAACGTGCTTCTTCAGCTCTTTGCTGGATTGGCTTCTTGTCATGATACAGGTCTGACCTCACATCCCCCCTTCTCATGAAGACTGTGGTGACCATGCTGTTGGCAGTTGACATCCCTTCTTTGTCTCCTAATATTTTTCCTTCATGGCAACCACCCCTAGGTTAATGTGTCATCGTTCCACTATGGACAAGCTTCTTTTGCTTGAGGGCAAAGGTCAAGTCTACCTTGGCAACAAAAAAGCCCTAGACCTTGCAGCATAGCTGGTTTGTCTTAGGTTCAGTATTTCCTGCATAAGTGAAGTAACTGAACAGAACCTACAAGCACACCCCATAAAAGAAGTCAAACCCAAGGACAGTCAATTTTGTGTGGCTCAGTTTCAGCTCTAGTACTAATCTAGGAACATCTAGGTTCAGCTGTGTGCCTGAAGGGTCTTGAGCTATCAGTCAGAAGCTGAAAGTCCATACACAAGAAAAAAAACACCACCATTGCCACCGTCTGTCTTATCCAGGTCCTCATAGTGATCACCCCAGGCCTTGGTCATCTGTGATGTCATCATTTCTGGACATCAGGAGCCAGAGCAAGTATGCTCTTCAGAACTTGACAGACCACCACAGAGCAGACCCAAAGGTTTTTGAAAGGATGCTTTTAGAAATAAACAAACCTGGAAGAAGCCTTAAAAGTAAGCCTCAATATGAGGCAGGACTATGTCAGATATTCCCTCGGCACCCTCTGAGATTCCATGAGCAGGTAGGACTGAGGCTGCTGTGATGACAGTCATGACCAATGTCTGCTGCTCTCAACTCAGAGCAAGCAAGGGAACAGAGTTCTTGGAAAGAATGTGGGGTAATTGGTGTGCTGTCCCTGAGCCAAAGCAGCCAAGGCAGGAAGAGCTGGCCTCAGGCCCAGCCTGGGGCTCACAAAACCTGGGTCAGCCCCAATTCCTCTATACTTCACCCATCCAGAATTTATTTACTACGTCCCTCAGCCACTTCATAAATATTTGCCAGTGACCTTTTGTGTACCTGACCTCAAGGGTCTGTGAGCCAAGAGGACATTACAGGGAAGCAAGGAAAAGGTCCCTGAGAAGCTGGATCCACAGTTAGAGAGGAGAAGCCAATATAATTGTAGTGCGCAGAGGGTGTGTACATATGTACTTCTGTGAGTGTGACGCTATGTGTGTGTGTGTGTGTGTGTGTGTGTGTGTGTGTGTGTGTGTGTGTGTGTTTGGTGCACCATCATGCATATCAAGCACAAGTACATCCATGTTGAGGGAGGGACTGGGATTCCCCAACTGGTAGCTCTCCAAAAATTGTATAAATGCCTACTTTGTGAAACTAAGAGAGTGTTTCTCCTATCATGAAAGGTCTGAAGCCACCTGCTGCAGTACGAGCTCAGGGGCTGGAAGAAACAGGGCTGCCCACAAGGGCTCTACTGCTGGAATAGAAGATGTCATTAGTCCTTTTCTCAGCCCTCCAGGGAGCAATATTCACATGGTGAGTATTTATCTGTGTCTCTCTCGGGGGCCTCCTGCCACCAGCCATCCTCCAGTGGCCAGTTTCCAGGGAGCTCTTCAGCCCATGTGTTCAAACATCCTACACTCCGCAGTCATGACTCCAGACTTAGCACCCCTGATCTTGGAGATCACACCAAGAGATCTGGGGCCAGAAGAAGGTTGGCCATGAGCCTGGCTTTAAAGTAACTAAGCAACAGACCTTTTGAGTAAGCACTCACTGGAGCGGCCAGGGAGATGGCTCAGTAGAATAAGCACTTCTCTGGCAAGCGCAAGGGCCTGAGTTCAATCCCCGGTTCCACCAAAAAGAAAAAAAAAAAGAACTCACTGGACCTCTCAGGGATGTAGGGACACCCTAAACACAATGAAAAAGAAGAAAATAAACTACTAAACAATGAGAACAACTTGTCCCTGGGCTTAAATTCATAGTCACATACAAGGAAGAGGATCAATAAACCCTGCTTGACTGATGGATGTGAATACACCATTTACCTAAATCCTGAAAGGCAGCCAGATGTCCTCCGTAGGGTCAGTAAAGACCGCTGCAAGCA